CATGGGAGCTTTATCATAGTGAAATGCTGTCAGCTTCAACATGGTCTCCAAAAGCTTCACTGTCAGACTCTTTACTTTGGATATTTGACACTAAAATCATAGCCATGTTGTCAGCTAGCGGCAGTGTAGCTTCACTGAACTGAATGGGATCTTTGCCAACTGACAGCAGTTAAAGAGAGAGCCTCCTGTGTTAAAAAAAAAATAAAATAAAATAAAAAAAATATTTTATGAAGACAGGGAAGTAAAGGAATTAGATGTTCTCAAACTGTGTCCTGTGATCACATGCTAAAGGATCTTGGAAAGCTCTGCTTTAGCTTTGTGTTGCTTTGACTGCCAGCTGAATAAACATATCTAATACTTCCCTAAAACGTGCATTTTAGTGTAGGTAACTACAAAGAGAGAGCCTCTGTGGTCCTTGTGAGCTAAACAGAGTATTTGCGAAGGAAAATTGTGTCTCACCAATCTCCTGTAATTCTTGTGACGTTGTAGAGCAGAGGATGAAGCTGAGCCAGCTAAAATAATTTTCTAAAGGTGTTTGACAGGGTCCTTTATGAGATGCTGCAAACATTTCTTAAATCATCATATGTGGAGAGACAAAATATTATGAAACAAAAATTGACTAGGTGAGCACAAGCAAAGAGGAGGATTAAACAGTTTTCTTAATGGCCCGATGATAAGTTCTCTTTTTGGCAGCAAATGAACAGCAAGATAATACATGTGGCTAGACTTCAAATCTAGATTTTACTGGTCTCTCTACTATGTATTAAATATAATTTTTCTGAATGAGTCCAACCATTCCTGGTATCATGGTGCCACACAGCAAGATTGATGGCACTAGATAAATAGCATTGCCTTAAGTCTAGAATGAATACTATTATTTACCTCTGCATGGTACTTTTCCTGAAAAATTACCTACAAGCTAGGGTTAAAAGCCCCAAAGAAAACCCTGCCAAGCAGTCATTAATCCACAAGAAATGTCTTGTTACTTAATTGTTGCTGCGGAAACTGAATTTGGAGCAAGGATACACAATACTATAGATTTCTTTATTTGAAGGTTTTCCCCTTCAGTAAGAAGAAAAGCCAAGTTGGCACACTGACTAAGATTAACTAGGCTTGGGCCTTTATAGCTTGTAAAACTGGACCTTTATATATAACTGCTGAAAACTGATTTACCACAGGTGGAGGCAAGTTGTAGGGTTGTAGAGTTACAATACACGTGTGAATGAGACGTGCCATCACCACCACAAAGATGACAGTGTGAAACAAAATCCCTGTAATCCTCACAAAGAGAAAGGTAGTGGGGTGGGTTAAAAAAGAGGGGTTTGCAGAGCCACCTGTCAGTCTTCAGCAGGAGGAGGATTGCAGTCATTGTCATCTCACAGAAGCTGTCCTGCAGTTGGGCATATGTGCTTATCCACATGTATTTTTAAGCAGTCTAGTTAGGACTCTCTTCTTTGATCTAGAAATATTTGTCTTCCCCGCTTCTGACCCCAAATGGCTTCTCAGTGCTTCCTTTAATTTACATTGTTCAGGACTTTGAGGTTAAACTTAATGAAGTTTGGAGAAAGATCTGACTTGGTTTCGAATTAGACTATTATCTTGTAGTGGCTGGAGCATTTTCGGGTGCCAGCTGTTTCAGACATATTTTTTTGTCTGATTTATTCTAAAAAAAAGACAAACCACCAACAGCAAACAAAAACAAACAACAAACAAACAAAAAAAACAACCAAAAATCCCTGTTTTTTTCTCTTTATAGAAACTTCTGCGTCAATTAATGTTCTAACACCAATTTGAAGGTGCTGTGGATCTTTAAGTACATTCAAATTTCCCTCAGTCCATTTGAAACATTATTTTCAACCCAGTGGATGCCTTGTGCCAATACTGCCAATACCAAACTCCGAAAACAGTCAAGTTAGCTGAGCAGAAAAATTGTACATGAAAGCTTATTTTAACAATAAAAGTTGAGTCCTTTCTATTTAGTTAGATAGATAGTTGCCTTTTTGGCTTACATTTTCAAACATTTCACACCATGTACTAAAAAAAGATCTGATATATTCATATGTCATCACTCGTACTTTTAATCTGTCTCAAATATCTTCAGATAGAGTCTAAAATCACAAGATTTGATACACAGGATTTGTTTCTGCTTGACCTTGCAAAGTGTTGGCACTTCCTGGACACCTAAATCCTTTCTCCTGATTTTTGATGTTCTGTTCTTGGCAGCCGGAAGGAGACTGTGCACATGGTTTAATATTTATCTTTTGAAAAAATTTATAATGTTTAAATCAGCACTCCTCAGTGGTGACAACCTATAGTTTTCTGATTTTTTTTTTTTCCTAATTTGATTTCTTGTTATAGTTTTCTAAATTCCGAATGGCAGTGATAATTATACCATCAGATCATGACTCAAAATACTGTTCTGGTAAATTCCCATTCAGATATTCGTGGTAATGTCAATTATTAACCCTGGCAAGCATCAGCGGTCTTACTAAGTATTTGTGTCAGAAAGGCTTACAAGCAATTTGAATTATGTAGAAAGCTTTATTATATACTAGAACTCAAAGTAAAAAGGGGGAAGTGAAGATGCTGAAAAGAGAAAAAAAAAAAAAAAAAGACCATTAAGGGCATTTTACATTGAAGTGTGGATGAGAAATCATCTTGGGGAAAAGAGAAATGAAACATTTTGAGATGTCAAAAAAAAAGGTCACCCTTATTTTTAATCAGCCCTCTGGTCCTTTCCTTGGATTAAGGCGTCATTGCCAGACTTGGGCAGGCAAGGCAGGAGGGAAAAGCTCTGCTGCTGTAACAGATTGGTTTCTGCATAGCATATAGCAGACTTCTCAAGAAGATGGTTCTCTGAAGGTGACAGTGAGGGTCAGCCACTGTATAACCTGGAGGAACTGCTCCTTGGGCAAATGGAAATCAGAAGTACTGAACAGCGTATTTCACAAGCAGGATTAACTTTAAGTCAAAGCCACCAGACGTTACAAACCTAGCTGCTCCAGTTCTTCAGTTAACAGGGATAATGTGCAAAGTATTGCCCTTCAGAAGAAAGGGGCACGTAGCTCATTCCCGTGTGTACTCTTGGGCTCAGCACCTCAATTTGTAGGGAAAATCACTTTGTGTGGAAGTGGGGTTTTACCGGTGGAAACACCTGAAGGCTACATGTGCAACCTCCCATTTTCTAGAAAGTAAATGGTCCTGTAAGGGAAAAGCAGAGAAAAGCAGGTGATAAAGCAATACTTTTTTTAGATCACAGCCTTAGGATTAAATGTCTACATTGCAAATCTCCTTTTCATCAATTTATTGTCATAACCCTTTACTGCAGGAATATTTCTTAATACATAATTCCTTAATCTTTTGAAAAACAATAGCATGTGTGCCAGGTACTTGAAGCAAAAAGCAATCTGATTGCCTGTGCTTTTTTGTTGCCTGAGTCTAAAAAACTTACTCTATATTAAAAATTGCTGCATACTGCTATTGCTGGCACTTATCAGATAAGGAAGTCATAAGATGAACAATCTGCCTCAAAGAACTGAAAAGCAAAGCAATTCTGATACTGAAACTGCAAACCAGATGATGCTCTGATTAGAGGCATGCACATAGATTAGAGACATATAATAAATCATGTAACTTTTTAGCCTCAAATAAAATAAAAGAATGCAGTTTTTATTAGGAAATAAAATGTTTATCAAGAATGCTTTAAAGGTGACATTTATTACTAATAAACTGTGTTGAAAGGGCTGATCCTTTCATTGGCAGATGATCCTTTCTCTGGCAGAACAGCTGGAGACTTCCCTCTATGTAAAAAATGTCCCAGCACAGTCTGTGCTGGGTCAGGAACCATTTCCGTCAGCACTTATGAAGGATGGTCAAGAGACTCACCTGCACCTTTTTTCAAGCAATGAATGAGTCATGGAAATATAACTCCAGTATTATTTTGGGACTGATCGTGGATCTCAGGACAACTTCTTGGAATATCACTGAGAAACAATTCCATAGTTAGCTAATGTATCAAACTCCCGCAAAGCATCTGCCAGGCAAACTCTTGATAGTGTCAGCAAGCCCCCTGCTCAGGCAGGATGCTATTTGCTCTTCAACTCTTGACTCTTCAGGGTTGTCACACTCCACGCTGCTTCTCATATTAATTGTGTTAAGTTACTGTGTACCGAATATTGTGGCTGTTGGTGCTGAACATGCCAAAAAGCACGTCCATCCTTTAACAGCCTGCACTACAGAGGAATATGAAGCCTCCCTCTTAACAAACTTCTTGTCTGAAGGGTTTTATTTAACACCTTCCTAAATGCAGCCTTGCTTTGGAGACCAACTTGTTCAGGCTTGAATTATAACAGTACTGAGGATGTTCCTACCTGCTGCCTGAAGCTGTTTCAAGGATGACTGCATATAAGTCAGGTCAAACTGCATATGTCTCTTAGCTATTAAAAAATGTCCTTCTAAACAACACAGGGAGGGTGTCCTGCAAGGCACAGACAAATTGCAGTTAGGAACTCATTCAACTCCTTTACAGTGATAAAGGCAATTTTAGGAATTAACCTTCGAGTAAATGTTTATCATTCTGACCTTGTCTATGAAATCTATTTTGTGATTAGTCCACAGCGTGTAACCCATTACTTGATCACAAACTGAAATTTCTTTTCCCATACTATAAAAACAATTTCTTCTGTTAGTTTCACCATCCAGAACACATTGCATGATTAAAATATGGTTGCAGATTGTCAGAGAAATCAAACTTCTTGCATTTAAGATGCATTAACTATTCAGGAAAACGAAATGGTGCTTAAGAACTGCTCTCAAGAGTCTGTGAGAAAAATCAATGTAGCTCATGTATTGTCTAGATTATATGTAAACTGGGCATTTCCTAGAAGCTGCAGTAACTTAAATATTCCACTACCCAGGCACTCTCGCTGCTGATACACTATCATTGTCTTCCATTCCATTGACTTTCTAAACACATTTTGCTGTACGATATTGTTTTTCAGGAGATGACCCATTCATGGCCTGCTCCATTGTCAGCTATTCACACACCAGGAAAGGCAGAACAAAGCAAATTTTCCTTCCCAAACAAGGTAAGCCATGCCACATTACATAGAACCATGCCTCCTTCCCCTCAAAATATGCCCTAAATGAGCCCTGACTAAGCATGTAGGGTCTCTGGGCTGAGCTAGATACCGTGTTGATTGACCTTCTCCATGTGTATGCCATGTGTGTGCCAGTATCCCCTGCTTTTCCTAATTGCAACCTCTGCAGAGCTACATGATCTTGTTTGCACATCTTCTGGGAGCAGCACTGATGCTGGTGTGTGGATCACAGATTCCTCACTGCAAGGCAAAGATACACATGTCCCTAGTGAGGTGTCCAGAAGTGGTGTTTTCTGCAGGCATCTGCTGAAGCTCCTGACTGATATACCTCAGGGTGCATACAGCTGCTGCAGGAAAAAAAAGCTCCTGCTTGCATCCATTGCTCCTGCTTTTTATAGCTTCACTAGCCAAGATTTTTGTTGAAACCACTGAGGTCTGAGGTGGGCTTTACTAATACACTGGCCTCTGCAATCAGAGGCTGAGGAGTGGACATACATCCTTTGCCACCAACCTGGCTTCAAGGGCAGCATTGCTACAGAGGCAGGCAGCCTAGTGCCATGATTCCCAGACGGGCCACAGAAGTATTTGCCAGGGAAGTATTTGGTTCCACAATGGACCAAGGCCCTGCTGGTGGTCCCTTGAAACCAGCTACACTGTTGTACGTGTATCCCAGGGAGGATGCAGCATGGCATGGTAAAGCTCATTGGCACAAGGTTGGGGAAACCACAGTATTTATCCTCGGTGAGTCAGGAGGGAATGAAATCAGCTATCCCATGAAGAGCCAATAAAAATTTCACATTGTATCACCATATACTGTTTGTATGCCACAAGCTCCACTATATTTCATTTATTTCATATAGTTCATAAGTTGACGCTTGAAATAAGATATTGATGCTGTTTGTAGCTTTTCTCCTGTTAAAGCAAGTTCCTTTGGTAACTTTTAAGTCCATTCTACAAAATTTAGTGCAGGGAATAATTACAACCACGAAGCCAAGAAACCGTCAAGGTTTGCCTACACTAAAACAGCTTTTCCGTGGATGAGGGTGTCAGGATTTTGAAATACCAGGGGCGTAAACCAAAACATCTCTGGCATGTTATGAAAGAAAAAGAAGGAAATAACTGACTATTTGCTCACTAAAGGCAGACAGCTGATTGAAGATGGTAGGTGAGCTAGAGGCTTGTTATGTTAGTCTGGTAGGAGATAGATGGATCAGCAGTTTACAGTAAAGTGAAGTACTCAGATATGGATGGCAAAACCGAAGTGGTGCTTGCAGCTTTGACATTTCTGCCATAATTATCACCACACAATGTGCTTATGTGGCATGAGTGCAAATGTGAGTGGTCAAGGTGTGCACCTATCAGTGTATCTTTGTGGCTGTCATGAATGTACTTCCCCTCACCTAAATGTATTGTGATAAATATAGGAATAGGAGAACCACAGACCATAGGGCAAAGATATGTGGATAATGGTCTCATCTTCTCTGCCTGTTCATCCATCTCTCTGGGAAATACGTTAATAGTTTCAACTGCAGGGCCATTTCAGAGCTCCACCATGCATTTTTAAAGAGCCTTTTCTAGGTGGTTTCCTTTTCTCTTACCAGAGTTGATTTGCCATTTTATTTAAGTTTAGGATGGACAAGATTTCATCGCATAATATATGAGCATACTTTTGTACATAAAATAACATCATAACTTTATTGTGGCCTGGGTGGTCTACAAGGTCATAAATTAGAGTGCTTTGTGTGAAATGGGGAAGAAGTACCTAACAAAACTCATCAGAGTTCTGGAAAAAAACCTGCATCACTGGCTATAGGCCATGTTAATTTTAAATGGGACCTCTATTTTAAACTATTTTAGAATAGTTAAGAGCTGCTTCTGTGGCTTAGTCTGAATCTGTACAGTTGCAGACATTAGAAGGCATCTGCTTTTAAGGTCCAAAATGCAAAGACAGGCTTCCTAGTTTTTCAAATGTTTTTGAAACATTCATAAGCTACCTATTGCTTTTCACAAAATGTGGTGTAAAATCATTATTGGGTCTCATAGGGAATGTCTCCATAACTTTTAGAAAGCTTACCCACAGGTAAGCTATGTAGCTGTCCCACCTTGTTAAAACCTAAGGACTACACCAAACTGTTGTGGATCACACATTGTTCAGATAAATGGGCCTGTCAGTTAAGCAGTGGCCAAGGACAGCAAAGAGGCTAAAAGGCTAAATTCAGGGCATCTACTTCATCTCTTAGTTCCAAGCGATGCATGGTACTGTGAATTCAATTTCAGCGTTGAGAGATCAGTTCAGTTAATTTGCAATGACTCTTCCAGCCAGAGAAGCAAGTAGGCTGCAATCCTTTTTAACAGAAGACAGTTTCCAAGTGTAAAGATACTCATCATTTTGGGAACAAGAAAGAGAGCAGCTTGTAAGACTCCTGCTCTGTTGCAAGGATGCAAATCATCCTTACTTTTCTGCTTATGAAAACTGATTGTCAGCATCATTAGTTCCCATACATGCCACACTGCTTTTAACCCGCAACTCAAGTAATTAGTGATCTGACAGCTTGAAACTTGAAATTTATTAATTAGGCTATAGAAGTTGCAAAGACCACAGCAACTACAGCTATACTGGTTTTAAAATCAGTCTAGTAATAAAAGCTAAATAACTTAGGTTTATATTTCACAAGTAGAACAGAACTGCATATTTGAAACTGCGTGTGTGGATGTGTCCATCTAAATAAGTATATGCTTGGTGGATGAGGGGGATATATGTGCATATGCTGTACCTGTATATAAAATCAAACCTCATTAACATGGGAGATCTGCATTAATGCACAAAAACAGAAGGAAAGTCTCTGTCAGGTTTGACACAGTACCCAGTAGGCAGTACCCAGTAGGTTTCCCAACACAGTGCTGCTGGGAGGGCACATTTAGGGAACTGTCCTTCGTGTGATAGAGGGCATAAAGTTACATTTTCTTTCCCTGTGGAATTAATTTGTGCTCTTGAATTTAGTGGGAAGGGGCAATGACAGTCTCTTTATTTCTTGTTTTTCAAAGCTTAAGGATAATTGAATCAGTGTGTGATGTGACAGGCTGTGTATGCTTTCCTTTCTCCCATCTCTGTCACACTTTGTTACTTACAAATGATCAGGCATTTTTTGATTGTAATTTTATTAAAAACATCTTAATAAATAAACTTTAAATGAATAATTAAATTTGGTAAATAAGAGCTCACATGATGCTTGTGTCAATGAGCTTTCATGTGCAGGCATTAATTCTTAGCCCTCATGCAGGAAAAGAATGTTTTTAATTCTGCTGCTTGCTTTTCCCTTTGTCTTCATTTTTACTGTAATTTCATGTCTTGAAAGTTTGTTCAGGTGTTTGATTTCTAGTTATGTGTATGTGATATTATGGGATCAGCTATCATTTTGTTATTTGAGAATTAATTTATCCACTCCAGGAGAAGTGGTGTCTTGTCACAAAACTATTGAGTGATTATTCTCAGCTGAAGCAAAGTTATTGTAGTGATGTTATTCTTTATGTGCTCAATTCATTTACTTTTTCCTTTCTTACTGATTTTAACAAGCTGGAACAAATACAGTAGACAATAATCTCCAGAAGTGAAGTCTTCTCCTTTGTTTTTTAAGTTACTTTAAGTAGTACTTTTTCTACCTCAGTGGGAGCACTCTCTATTTACTATGATATTTTTGTATTAGCCTTTGTTATTAAGAATAATATGTTGAGAATCAAGACACTTATTTTAAGGAATCTGTTAAAATGAAAAGAGAAAATGTCATAGCTCATATGCATTGCTGTTGTCAAATTTGAGACTACGCAGAGTCAATGCCAGAGGTAAGATACTGTGCTAGGCAGTTAAAGGGGAGGGTGCATTCTTCCTGAGGTTGATGAAAATGTAAAAGAGTGAGCAAGATCCTTGTTTAGCAGTTTCAAACACATTTACAAACCCGAGGGTATTTCCATCAAAATGATTGTATTCCCCCAAATTTCTCTAGGCACATAAATTCACTATTCTGGAGACTGAACATGCTCTAATAGCCTACTTTCATTGGCAGCATGATTGGCTACTAGAATAGCATTTAAATTCAAGAGTACGTGTCACTGCATCACCACTGCAAGCTGATCCTGACTTCTTAAGATTATATTCAGTCACTAGAAAAAAAACAGACTTTAATATCCCTTCATCAGCAGCATTCATAAAATGCTGAGGCAATTTGTCAAAAGTAGAGAATTTCAAATTATTGGCAAATTATTATTGGCGTGTGAAACACTGTACAGATCTTTTCATACTCCAGTTGAAGATAGAAATTCGTAGGGCTTGACCAAAAATTTGATGCCTCGCATTTCAGGCGAGCAAGATGGCAGTGAATTGCAGATGTGTATTATAGCATAAAAATTACAGAGCAAAGCTATGCAGTCTGGAGAGCTTTGAGTTCAGAGCAAATGGTGCAGATTGAGGGGATTTGGCTAGACAAGCCCTTGAAACACCCAGTGCCTGTGGTCCAGCCAACTTCCAGTTAGAGCTGCAAAGAAACTCTTGGGGTCCCAAACCCCTGTGACATGTTTCTGAGTGACTCGGCAGCAAAATCCCAGCTCAGCCAAGCCAGAGCATCCTTGAGCTCTCTGGGGACTTTCCTGATGAGCTGTGCATTTGGCTCATCGCTCAGCCTCTGTGGACCAGGGATCTGGTCCAGTGCCTGATTCATCACTGAAAATGACCGTGTGTGTTGCTGTGGGTGCCTGGCCTCTCCAAGCAGACTCTACTGCAGTTCTAATTGCAGCACACATATGAGGTTCTATTCCTGTGTGTGTCTGGGTTATTCAGAAGCAGGGTTACATACAGGATACCTTCCCTTCTTTCATCCGTAGCAGTGTTGTTGTTTTTTTTTCTTAATTTAAGTAGATTTTTGTTACAGTTTATATTTGTATTTCCATTTATAAACTTTTTTTATATTTTTATGAATGCAAACAAATACTGTGAATAAAATATGTGAACGTTTGCGTGTGAGGAAAAAATGGTCTGATTTGTTGCACCATATTCATAGACACTGTGCCTGTGATACAAGGTTGACCTTGTAATCTCGGGGACCCAGAACTAAAGTCTGTATTTCCATTCTCCACTGCTGTCAATATCAACATGTGAAGAGGGAAGACCAGCTGTGCTACTACCTCAGGAATCCAATGGTCCATGAAACAATATTGGTCTTCCCTCTGCCTTCTCATCTAAACTTGTAGAAGATAATAGACGAGTTTTGGCTGATCAATAAAGGAATAGTGAGCAGGAGAGTTGTAATAGCTATACAAGGAATTGCACTATTAAAGGGTTGTTGTGAAATAAGTTTACAAGCCATAGAATTAATGGATTTTCAAAGAAATACTGGATTTATTCTTGTAATTGAAAATTACTTTGAAACTGAATGAACAATTAACAATGCTGTTTGTATTGTTAAGGTAATGTTCAAGCAAGTATTGAACCTAAAAATTGCTGTAACAATAACACACCATACCTTTTTTCTATTATTACTGTAGGAGTCACAACAGGGATCTACAGGACACGGCAATACAAGTAAGTACCAACTAATTTTCTGACTGCTTTGGGTGAAGGGTATGGCAATAGCTATGAAATACAAGTGGCTTGTAGGGTAAGGAACCAATAGCAGACTGGGACAGTGTAGAGACTCAGCAGCACATTTGTATGGCCAAATGTGAAGAACTGAACTGAAGAGTGACCATCAAAATGTCAGGTCTTCTGGTGGACTGGGAAGAACCATTTCATTATATAGATGAGAAAGACTGAAAGGCCAAAAGAGTGGCTTTTTTTAGACAGCCAGAAAAGAGCTGACCTAGTTGTATGGCCAGATCCAGACTGCCATAAAATTCTGCAAGAAGACTTGTTACCATTTTTCTTTCATAGAAAACGGTACATTTTGTGCCTATTGCACAGTAATAAGTGACATAAATCCTGCCAAACTAACACCAGATAATGTCTCAAAGACCATATGGCCATGGGTCTTTTTGGCTAGCCGTGTGAGCAGGGAAATGATGTATGCTTGTGTAGCTTCTGGCTGGGGCTTTTCAGTGGCCTCCAATTTACAAATCATGGTGCAGATCAGCAGCACTTCAGTTACATTTAGTTATGGTAAAAAACTTAGCAGCTGTATTGAAAGATTGAATTGTTCTGCTAAACATAGTATTAATCTTCTCCCCTGCCACCTCTGACTGTTGTTAATGTTGTCGTGCATATTAAAAATACATGATCCTACCCTGCTCTCAAAACAAAATCATCTCAACCAAAAGAAATATTTTGCTATCTTCCTGACCTGTCAGCCAGCACAGAGACTGGTTTGCAAATTACAGGGCTGTGACTGAAGATGAAAAATGCCCTGAGCTGGTAGGCAGGGCTTTGAAAGTGGCTGGTCACCCACTGCGTGAGGGAGAAGACATCCAGAGAGACAAGGCTAGGAGATGTAGGCTATTAAAATGGTGTGGCTTTTTGCTGGGGAAAGGTCAGCATGCAGAAGACAATGTTGTGAAGAAACATGCAGTGGTGTCACTTAATTGCTGGCATCCGTTTGATATTGCTGTGAGTCCAGCACTAAGGAAATAATAAAAGGCAAAGGGAGTGAGTTCTGTCAGGAAATAATGAATACAGTAATGAGAGAAGGAAGCACAAAAGGGCCATGATAGAGAGGGCTATGCAAACACATGCAGAGTCACAAGCATGACCAACACACCAGCTGAGCTGAAGGCTTTGTGATGACATCAGAGGCCACAGTGTTTGGCCAGCTTTGGTCTTAGTTTCATTCTGAGTATATCCTTCGTTCAACACTTGAATGTGATAGGTTATTCTGCAACTCTAATGAAAACTGCTTTCCTGTGGGTTAGGAAATCAGTTCTACCTTGTTACAACTTTTCCTCCAGTCCTTACTCAAGTGATCTTCAGCCTCAGCTTACTTCCAATTCCCTCACCTGCCTTCCCACACCACAGTACCTCCACTTTCTTCTTGACTTCTCATTCATCCTGCTCAGCAAAATCAGTATATATCTGCAGATGGGCTGGAGCTGCATTTGGTACTGCCTGGATGATGGCAACCAAACCAAAGGACAGCTGAACCCATGCAGAAATGTATTCTTCATTGGTGGCAAAAGTTAAGGTTGCTGGCAGACACCAGACACTTCTAATGTTGAAGAGGGAATTTTACTACCTCTGAGACTAGCATCCATAAGGATTCATATAGAGGAGCTGGAGTATGAATTGAATAAGACAGTTAGAATGAGACATAGACCTTACCTTAGAAGTGGTGGGTGATCCCTGGCTGGACGTCAGGTGCCCAGCAAAGCTTCTCTGTCACTCCCCTTCTCAACTGGACATGGGAGGGAAACTAAAATGAAAGGCTCATGGGTCAAGATAAGGACAGGGAGAGACCACTCACCAGTTCCTATCACTGTCAAAACAGGCTTGACTTGGGGAAATTAGTTTAATTCACTGCCAATCAAATCAGAGTACGCTAATGAGAAAACAAAAACAATTCTTAAAACATCTTCTCTCCATCCCTCTCTTCTTCTCAAGCACAACTTCACTCCCGAGTTCACCTTCTCCCACCCAGCAGTGCAGGGGGTTGTGGTCAATTCATCACGTGTTGTCTCTGCCGCTCCTTCCTCCTTAGGCGACGACTCCTCACACTCTCCCCCTGCTCCAGCGTAGGTCCTTCCCATGGGTGCAGTCCTTCAGGAACAGACTGCTCCAGCGTGAGTCCCTTCCATGGAGTCACCAACCCTGCCAGCCAACCTGCTCCAGTGTGGGCTCCTCTCTCCATGGGGCCACCCATCCTCCCAGGAGCCTGCTCCATCACAGGCTTCCCATGGATAGCAACCTCCTTCAGGCATCCCCCTGCTCCAGCATGCAGTCCTCCATGGGCTGCAGGAGGATAGATACATCCTCACCATGGACTCTCATGGGCTGCAGGGGCACAGCCTGCCTCACCACTGGCTGCACCATGGGCTGCAGTGAAATCTCTGCTCTGGTGCCTGGTGCACTTCCTACCCTCCTTCTGCACTGACCTGGTGCCTGCAGGGCTGTTTCTCTCACAACTTCTCACTCCTCTCTCCAGCTGCAGTTGCTGGGGTGGTTCTTTTTTTTTTTTTCTTCTTAAATGTGTTGTTCCATAGGCGCCTTGGCCAGCAGCGGGTCCATCTTGGCGTTGGCTGTATCAGACACCAGTGAAGCATCTGGCAGCTTCTCACTGTTGTCAATAGGGGCACCCCTGTAGCTTCTTCTGCCTGCTACCGAAACCTTGCCATGCAAAGCCAATACAGGATGTGAGAACTGCTAGAAAATGACTGTGGGAAATAAATCTATGGTCTATGTACTGCATGATCCAAATGCACATCTTCAGGGTCCCAATTTGCTAGTTTAGCTAGTTGTTATTTCCCATTGCACAATTCCTTCTTTGGAGCGGCTCTAGAGCCTGTCATTTACAATGGTTTTACTCCAGCTGGAAACATTGTCTTTCTCATGGGTAACATTTGCATTTCTCTCTCATCCTTCCCCCACAAGGAAATCAAACCCCTAATGTCTGAAGTTATACTGCTTTGTCACAATAAATATTATTTATCCCTGTTACCCAGAAAGGGAAACTTGGCCTGCTTACGTTGAGTGATTCACCCAAATACCAACTCAGAGGAGAGAACTCCTTCTCTGGCTACCCATTATTCAGTGAGGAAATCCCACAGAAGTTCATTGGAAATTTACTTTGGAATGAAAGAAATCTGGACACATTTCCTCTGCTTATATCTAAAAAGATTAGAAAGGGAGCTGTGTGAGGTGAGGTAGAAACTAGCAAAGAACTCCCAGCTCTATGGCTAAGGATCTGAGGACTGATTGTTTCTACCGTATGTTACTGGAGGCATGCGTATGCACACACACACCAACACACACCAACACACACACATTTCAAGAGACATACACAGTGCTTAACACATGAAATAAAGTGTGCTAAGAGCATTCCCATAATGGGGTGGGCAGCATACTGTTTGTCAATTCCCAAAAGACTGAAAAAAACCCAAAGGATGACACCAGTTTGCCCACAAGAAGAAGCCAGAGCTAGAAAGGATTTAGCAATTTAGCAAATGCCAGCCTCCCACAATGGTACCTGCATGCATTTGGCAGATTACATGGAACATGGAAAGCAAATCTGAGTCTGGCCACGAATGAGTGTGAAAAATACAAGTTGTACTGACAGGTAGTTCCGTTTTAAGCATGCTTATCCAAAAATCTTATCTGTAGTGTATCTGTGACATTCAGCTATGCTTAGTCTGTACACATTTTAAGAATTTCTATGATTCAGTCAAGTGAGAACAAAGTTGGTAAGAACTGATAAAGCATTAATGGCCAGATTTTCTACTCTGATAGGCCAGACTGCTGCGTTTTTACCATCTGTATAGGCTTCATCCTCTCTCTCCACAGAAGTACGTTAAGTGATGATTAGCATAAAAGCAGCTGCAAATGCTTACTGTAGGGTAATTCATTAATATCCAGTTTGGCTAAATCATAGAGATTCCCTTTTCTCCTCACAGTACTTATGCCGTTTCCCTTGTTGCTGCATTAACATACATTGCTGAAAGTAGAACTGATGTGAACTCTGCTGGCAAAGCACTCAGGAATCCATATTCCCTCTCACACTCAAACAAACCAGTGTTCATGGTAATAATTCATCACTTATAAAAAGCCTAAGTTACGAACAGAAAGTCTTTGAATATATGCCAACTGTTACTGTTGGTTTCTTGTTCCAAATTACCATAATGCAGATGAGCTCCAGGGCTCCAGGAACCCTAAGGCTGACTAACGCATACTGTAGCAACAGCTTTCCAGCCAGCAAATTCATCTAGATATTCTTTCTGAGGTCTCTGCCAACAGTGCAAATTGACCTAGAGATTATGTATTCTGTCCTGTGTGGATGCCCCACTTGTGCCTAAATTCAGGTGCTTTTGGCTGTCCTACTACAGTAAGTGATTAACTTCCCTAGAAGTCCACAGAGAGGCATCCAGAGCTTACCCATCCTGTTCACTAATGTTTAGGCACCTAAGTTGGGTGCTTTCTGGAGGCCCTTCCAGAGGGGAGCATGAGATCTAAAAGCACCATACCAAGGTGTTTACAGAAGGTCATTGTCTAGAGTAAGTTCTTCAGTTTGTTTCTGTACAGCAGTAGAATGACGTTGGTAGCAAACCCCTGCCTCTTCTGAAGGCAACAGCAAATTTTCCAGAGCTACCTCTTACATCTGTTGCTGGCACCCCAATGCTGTGTGAAAACTGAGGATGAGAACTTCAGCAGCAGCAAATGGACTTTACATAATGCTTGTGTGCATGGAATAGGTTGAGGGCTGACCCAAAACCCATTCAACTCAAGTCAATGAGCAGAAAATCAGATAACACCAAAACAGGCTGACTAAAATAAATACTACTCATTTTTTTTTCAGAAGGCACAGGTGGATTTTGGCTTAGCAAAGCTCATTAAAAAGTAATGGAGAAAAACACATCCATCAGTAAACCAGTCACACTCAACCTCTATGCCTCCTTGTCTGCCAGGCAGCATAAACTCATGTGTAGACAGCTATTAGCATCCAGTGACACACAAGGGGAGCAGCAGCTGCACCGTCACTAGGTCTAGAATTCAAGTTCAAGGTGATTCAAGTAGAGTGGCATACCCTATACGTCCATGCTAGAGCTAAACAAAAACCTTGCACTGAAGGGCACTGGTTACTCAAAGAGCAATAATTACAGCAAACAACATAAGCCTGACATTTTTGGGGGGAGAGGGAGAAAGAGGGAGAAGGACATGGCTTGGTTTAGCAGAAGCAGTACCATCCCATCAGCTAGCAGCCTGCTCCCCCAGTGTCTGTGCTACGTAAGTAAGTTCTGTTGGCAAGTTATAAGAAAATGTGAAGAGGCATCCCTTGGGCCTCTGACACTTCTCATTCAGGTACCTGACTTCTCGTGGGGGTTGAGTGCTTAAGCCAAAATACGGCAAGGAGGGCTTCCCCAGCCCCCACTTACAGGAGCTGAAGATCAGATCCTCAATTTGTTAAAATGAATGTGAATAAAAACATACATTGGCAGAATTGCATCCTAATCAATGCCTTACTAGCTCCTGCTGATGCTGTTTTGCTTTGTATGAAATAATTACTGTTCCTGGAACAGGGTTTTAGAGCATTGTGCATGCTGGATGTGGTACACTCAATAGCAGAGCTGTAGGGCCCTAGAGAAATCTTTTCCATTGCTCCAAGGTCTGCTGTCCCTGGTTAAAGTTTGTGTCCTCTAAGCAGTTGCTCTTGTGGAGTTTCCTTGCCTGACATTTCCAGAGTACATGTGGCAGTGACAAGAAAAGTCAAGTCAGGGTTGATTCCCTGCTTGCAAATGCTCCAGCAGTGCCCCTGCAGACCTGTGATTGCCTCAGCAGCAGTCTGCATGTGCGGCAAGAGTGGTCTGTTTTAGCAATGAATAAAGTGTTGATGTGTCACATCTAAGCAGTTTCCATATTGACCCATTTCTGATGTCATTTTCTTCTTCTCTTTCAAAGGGAAAAGTGATGTAGAACCAAAGAGTCCAGAGAAAAGCGCAACCCATACATCGTAAGTCACTTTTGTGTTTAAGATTGGAGAAGGCAGCTGTGTTTTTATCATATTTGTTGGGCAAAATGGAATTTGTTTGTTTTCATTAAAATAAAGCTCTTTCACTGATGTTTTTCTTAAAATGTCCTTTTAGATAATGGATAAACTTTAATTATTCCTAGAACTACTGCATGATAGTAAGTCAGAGATCTTTGCAAGTGACATGGCTCCATATCACACTGAATAGAGATGAGAGTATTTTTGTGGGTGTGTGAGGCTGGCCTTTACAACCTGACTTCAACATTACCTTAATGCTGCTGGAGTTTGTCACACTTGCTAAAAAACATTGTGTCACATATGCCTTTGATGTACTGATGTAATTTTAAAAGACTGCAGTCTGCAGCTTCACCTCTGAATTACTTGAAATCCAATTACAGTTATCTCTGGTCTCTCACAATTTTGTTGATGTTTTTGAATTAACAAAAGAAGTAGAGAAATAGATAGGAACAGGCACTTGTAATATATCAGTGTTCACCTTCACTCTAGTGCAACAATAGAAGCTTTTACCGTTTTTAACTCTAGTATACAAAGGACTGAATTGTTTTGCCAACATAAACCAGTCTATGAAACAGATGGGCTGCAAGCTGAAAAAAAAAAAAGCATCATTCTCCCAAACTGAGCTAGATAAGTGAATTCCTTTAATAACTACCAGGCAGGAGCATTATGAATTTCTGCAAAACCATTCACCTTCTTAATCCCATTTGAGGGAGGGAATTCTTGTAACAGTCAGTCATGTGAATTTTAGAGTGCATCTTGCCTATAATTTATGTTTTCTGATTCCTGTTATTTAAATTCAGAGCATTATATCATGTAAATCTCTCAAGGTGTCACCATTTGTTACATGGCCAAAAGTAGTCACAGAAGGAGGTATAATAACAGTGATTTATTGTGGGATGTTTTGATTTCTGCTGCAAATGCGCATTAAAAATCTTCTGGAAATGAATCTAGAAAAAGATTTGACATGGTATAAGAAATGGCTTGTCCTGCAGATTGTGTTGTGGAATGTAATTACAGTATCTGAGCATATTTAGCCAAACTTATTAAATGAATTAAGCATTAGCAGCCTTATGACTTCTGATAGTATGATTGCTGGGAATGGTTAATAGAATGATTCCAATAATTATCATTTTTAAAAATAATATTGCAATAAAGACCAAAAGAAGAAGGGTTTTAATGCCATCTGGAGGTATTTGGGAGAAATGAACACATTTATTTTTGCCGATATTTAGCAATATGTAAAACATAAGCTATCCTCCAACATGTTTTTTTTCTATTTAAATAGTATTTTATTGATGAGGGAAGTTCTTTCCTTCTCTTTCTTCTTCTCCTTTGGATACACCCCTATATGTTTATGGTTTTGGTTTGAGAGTATAGAACGTGTCATGTCACGTGCTGTATTACATACAAAAGACTTCAGAATCTGGTTAGGTGTGAAAAGTTCTTTGCCTAACAAGAGCTCTTAGTACAACCTTCTGAAACTGTGCTGTCTAGTAGATGTAGTATATTCATTAAGCTTATCTTTAAATTGTTACTATATGTTACTATACAGTAGATATTGGTTCCCACAGCAAATTTTAGACAAGACTGGTTACCACTGCATTCAAGAAGCAGAAGCCCCTCTAGTTAGAAAAATTGTGTGGAAAGGGAGGGAGGAGAGAAAGGAGAAGAGGAAAGAAAGGGAACCAGCAAGTGCTGTGCCAAAAGAGGAGGAAGAAAATGAGAGGGATACATATAAGAAGGAGGAAAAGGAACTGCAAATGCCATATCTTCAGAAAGAGATAAAAAAACTGAGAGCGGTGGAAGAGAAAGCCAAACACAGCAAATGAGAAAGAAGGGAAACTAATAGGAGCAAAAGCTGTTAGTAAACTAAAACATATGTATTGTTGAATAGAGGGCTGGCTACCTTGGTGTTACAGTGAAGTAAACTACTGTTGGTGTGTTATCCCACTGATATCCAGGTTCTCTTTCTGCTGCCTTCTGTTGTCCTTCCCTGTGTTTCTTCTCTTTTCCACGTTCTTCAAAAACAGTCTTTTATTCCTGGTTCTCAGGCAGTCGTGAATACAGACTGTTTCTGTTCTTTTGGGGACATAGCAGCTGGGAGCCAGTGGGGTTGTGAAAGGGACAGGTATGTGAGGGGGCACAAACAATGCCAGGGGACCCCACAGGTAAAAAGACTGCACCCTCTTGTGAGATGTTGCTCCCCTGAGGGTGCTGGAGGAGTCTGATTGGCATCCCCTTGCAGGGGTGCTAAAAAGTGGGGACATTGCTGGAGGATAGGTGGCATGTTCAGGCCTGACCAGAAGAAACTGTGGCTTGGTTTCACTGTGAATCATTGTTTCCTTGTGAAAATGGAACAAACAGCAACAAAAAGACCACAAAGCAAGCCGTGTTTGCCTAGATAAAGATAATGGAAAAGACAGGGAGGAGCAAACTAATGTTTCTTTCTTGCAAATGTCTTTTTTATTTTCGTCAGGCATGTTACGAGCCACACACCCAAGCCAAGCATATATGACTCAATGGCAGTTAATTCATCCCTGGTGAAGATTTACTACCTCCATGCAAACATTATTTATGCAGCTTCAAAGGACAGGTTGATTACCCTCCTGAATCAGGCATTGAGGCATTTGTGGACTAAGCATTTACATGAAGTTTTCCCTCAAGACCTTCCTCCTGCTCAGTATCCTCAGAACCAGACAGAACTCTGTGACCTGGAGCCCTGGGGGCCAAAGGTGCTACCCAGAACCTCTGAGAGTATAAAAACCTAGAGTGCAGGACGTGTGGTGGTCTATTCAGAGGGGTTTGGGTACAGTAAATGCATCATTCTGAGCTGTATTATGCATAGGGCTTTTTTCCTGTATGCATTAACTCCCTGGATACACTCAGTATGACATAGCTCTCCACTGGTAATAATATTAAGCATTAAGAAACTGGTATATATTAGATGATAAGCATTAATTGATGTAACATCCTAATGAGGCAGATAAATAAGGGCAGTTACTACAATGCTAGAGATAACTGAGATGGATGTAGGAGAAGGAGAATGATGCAAAAGTGGGGAGGAAGTCTGAGCAGAGTCCTTTTGCACGATATTCCTATGGCCTTCACTGTCTCAGCATGCACAATAATCATCTGAGCTGTCACTGAAGAACTGCAATAAAAGGTGCAAACAATACAAAGGTGTTAAGAGGTCCAGAGTCTTCCAAAGTTGATTCATGTTCCTTGTAATTGAATGCTTTCAAAGTCATGAGAATTCTGGATTTGAAGGGGGGTTTTGTTGTACTCAATATGTATAGAGCTCTCTATGGGTCATGTGGTTACAGCTTCACCGAGCATTTCTGAACTTTTAGGGCTATTCAGAAATATCCAGCAATGTTTTGTTCTTTTGGTTTTGTGATAAAAAGTTCAGTTTTCAATTATCAGAAAACTTTCACAGATTTTATTTAAAACACTTTGTTTTCACTCAAATCCTTTCTCCCCTTGGTTTTACCAGTTAAAGTTTGGAGGGCTTCATTAAGGAGTGGTGAAGGGATGAAGGAAGAGTACTCTTTGGTTTTCTAGTGTTTTCAGATACAGAATTTTAATCTTTCTTTGGCAAAACTGGATCCTTTCAGTAACACTGCAATTAAAACTTTTAATTTTATAGATTAAAACTTTTAATTTTATAGAACATCTGTGCAAGGAAAAGTGAATGTGCACATGTTTCAGAGGACCTTGCGGTGCCATAGAAACTCATCTCCGAGCTTGGGGTCTGCAATCTTCCATCCTCCCACCTACAAAATATGACAACGTTTAAAAAAATGGCACAAATACACAAAGAGCTCAGCAAGACTCTCGCTTTTGGGATGACTTTTGACGTACTGGCCTGTTGCGATGTTCTTCAGTACTTTTTGTGTTTGTAAATGATTTCCAGTTCAGACTACCCAAGGTTAATCATGCCTGACTGTGATTCACTGCTATGCATTTACCCTGACATTTCTAGTGCACTTACTTAATGATATCAGGGCTGGCAACTAGATACCTTGGTGCTGGCTCTTTATTATCCCTCCCACAATTGCTCCCATGCTGAGCTGCTCCAGATTTTTACCTCCCTTTTTACAAGAGAATTAACCAAGGTTGAGGGAGGCTTTTATAATTTATGGCAGTTATGCAAGTTTTGTCCTCTGCTAACACTCTCTGAGAACTGCAGCGATCTCAGTTTATGTGTTTGCTTGTTTGTTTTTGCCAGGCAGAAATAGATGTTGGCTCGTTTTTCTTCCCTGCACTGGTCCCCAGCATCACTTGGAGAATAGTTTGCTCAGGGGGATCTTCATTAACAGCACTAAATTCAGCAGCTTCCAAGCTGTCCGTTTGCGGACATTAGTGCTACAGTGTCTTGCCCATCCAGCAGCTGCTCATCGTTCTCATCGCCCTGATTCTCCTTGAGGAAGGAAATAGAAAATAGGTACTCAGAGCAACATCACTGTTGTTCTTGTCTGTATTGGCATGAGTATTGCCTACTGGTTTCTCACTTTCTCTTCCTCGCTTCTGTCTTGCCCCTTGTATCTTCAGTGACTCATGGATAGTTACTCAATAGCCAGAAACTCCTGCTGGTTTCCCCTTCCACAGATGGGAAAACTGAGGCAGTGGGGTTATGAGGTGCCTCCACAGAACAGAGAGAACCAGTCTCAAATACAGGAGACAGCTCAAGTGCATGTTGACAACTCACCATCCAGCTCTTAGCCCCCAGGAAGCTTGGCCTTTCACATCTGGCTGACATGTGGTCTTGACCTTAAGTCTCTGAGGCAGCAACTGCAACCTGATTAAGCATCAGAGTTGGAAGAGGAGCCTTAATCCCACCTCACTTCACTGAAAGGCCTTCTGCAACTTATTTAAAGTTAGCCTTGGCTTTCCCCCATCTAAAATAATAATTAGACCACCATGAAGACTACCTCATTAATATTTGTATAAAGTGTTGAAAAAAT